TTAAAACTGTCGGGTTTTTTCCCAATTTAAACCCAAATTCGTCATCTATAAATTGTTTTAAAATGCACTTTGACAGTAATGTTTTTAATTGACATTAACAAATACGTTTTTTTGGGTTTAAAAACACATTTTGTTAGTTTTAACGCTTTAGGGGAATTTTTAATGTATACATGAATATTTTTTTCCCCCCTCTTTTTAATATTAAAATATTTAGACAAGGGTAAAATAAATTTTGGGTTTTGCTTTTGTTTTGAAACCCTTTTAAAATAACAATACAATACCTTTTTTTGTTTGATTAATAATTACGTTTACAGCAAAACAAATCCAAACTTTAAAATGAAATGTATCAGATAATTAACATTGAAATGCAAAATTGGAAATACAAGTTTTGTCCTACATGTTTTTTTTTTTTTTTTTTTTTTTTTTTGGGGGGGGGGGGGATGGGATGAGGTAGCAAGGAAGTAGGATATTATTTTTAGATACCTCGTTTTATCAGAGAACGAGTATAAATTTAATTTATGAAAAAGCAAGGGCGATTTTTTGGGTCTATTTAAATTTCAAATTCATCAAAAAATATGATTTTTAATCTCAAACTCTTTTTTAAAATTTGTTTTGTTTGCAAAATTCCTATAAAACAAACAATTTAAGATCATGACATAAATTTACAAGCAAATAAACACGTACTCGTATAAACATTCTGATAAATAAACTATAGCATTATGTTCTCCCTTCCAATTATTCAAGTTCTGTTACTGGCAATTGTTTGATTATGCATTTATGATACATTGTTTGTGTGTTCAATTTATATTGATAGAATAATCACATCCTAACATTATGATATCAATGGCTATTAGGGGTATCAATCAAAAACTGGAGACTCATGCCTAAAAGAATTCTGAGATTAAACTTACACTCCTCTGAAGTGCTGAACAATTCACTAAAAATGTTCTTTTGTGTTTTGTTGACACCACATTAGACGAAAAAAGAACTGACAGCTTGAAATGAACAAAAGTTAGACGGAATAAAGATGTAATAAGAAGTGGTACATGCTTTTTACAGGACACGTGTAATTAAAAACAAATAAAATACATAACAAATGACACAGCCGGTGTTTTCGCTCTTTTTTGTTGAATCTAATTGAGTTATATATTGGCTACGATTTCACAACAAATTTCCCAATTTCTGTGAATTGTATTCCCCCTTTATATTATCCGGTGGAGATATAACGAAGAACAAGAAGTAGCTTAATCTTATTTATCTTAACATATATTCAAGTTTACAGTACACCAATACATACATTAACATCAAACAAATAACATCTCCGTCACAACGTGATAATTTAATGTTGATCCAATGGTTTTGGCAGTGATCCAAAACCTTAAAGATATACATGCTTTAATACCTTACTGTTATAAAACGCCATTCCCAAACATATTCAAAACTTTCTTAACAATATAAACTCTTTTGTATGAAAAATAAAAAACATTTAAATTCACAAAAACACGAAAATGTTTCGAACCAATTTGAATATTGAGCTATTGAACAGATTTAGAGATTGACCTGTTTATGTTTCAGAAAATGTTTAGCTATCAAAAAGATAATTTACTGCATAACTTTTCAATACATGTCAAATTACAAAATGTGGCTACTAAGGTTTTGTTTTCAAGGAACCGCTTTAAGCAGTGCACATTTCTTGCATAAATAGGAACAATTTTCAATATGAACAAAATCTAAACTACAAAAAAGATGGTTTACAGAACAGTTCATCCTCTACTTTCTGAGACTTTATCCCACTTTTATAAAGTTGAGGAATGTTTTTCACAAAACAATAGACATAAAGAAGTGTCTCTGTGTTTATACCACAAATATAACCAAGTCTGTAACTTGGCCTGTGTATATATAGCATATTTTTCATATTACCATATTCGAATATTTCAATTTTACTGACTTACTCACTACCATCACCTTTGATAGCATTTGTCACAATCTCAACAGGCCATTCATTCCCCGGCACCTGTCCACCATTCCTAACGAAATTGTGCTACTATGTTGAAGCGTTTATTTCTCCATCGTTTCTAGAACATATCTGAGATGTATCCTTTGCGGTGAATTTAGGTCATTATAGAAGGAGAACATAAAAAAATAAAATTGAATTTTTTGTAAATAAGCAAGACAATGAAAATAAATGCAAATTGTTTGCTACAAAGAGCAAATCGGATATGTTATAAAGAGAAAAAAGCTACCTATTGTCGCTAAATGTTATTACCTTCACGAAAATAAGTAGGCTAAAACAAACTACCAAAAAGAACCTTCAATGCCATTTAAAAAAATTGTGCGAAGGAAGTAGAAGATCAGTGCCGGAAGTTTTTTTTTTTTTTTTTTTTTTGAGGCCCCATCTGGGTAACCCCGTTTATTTACCCCGTAATAGGTATGAGGGGGTCGGGGTCATCCTCCATCATACCTTACATTGTTAAGATACAATAAACATGTTGCAAAATAATTATATTCATGTAAATATTGTCAAATACATCTACAGTATATATTTTGCATATAAATATAAACAACATACATACAATAAACCCATCTATTTTCCAAAAATATTTTACCAATAAAAATTACTACTTATTAATAAACAATTAAACAATCTGTTACGAGGTAAAGTTTTGTTTCACATATTAAGTGTAGTTTAAGCAATTAAGAATCTTATAATTGACCATCTATTATTTTCATCATCTGTCAAATGTGTATTTCTATAGATATTCCATGCTAATTTCAAACTATTTTTAAAACCAATACATGTAGGTAAAAAAAAATTTCTCTTAGACAAATAAATATATCTTTTCAATTCTAGAAACAATATGTCATATTTAAAATCTTTATTTTCTGTACCTAATATGAATGATTTACAACAAGGAAGTTAATTTTTGTCTTGTTACAAAAATCTAGGAGAAGGGTGTTCCCTCGCGATCATTAATCACAACAAAATTACATGAAAATTGCAAGCTCGGTTTAATTAAGTCTGTACATCTGTACATGAGGGATAATGAATAAGTGAAACCCTCCCACACAACCCCTTGCCCCGGCTTCAGCGGTTCTCAATCTTCAACTAAAAGTGCTGGAATCAATGAGTCCAAAGGACAAGAAAATTAAAACAACACTGAAGTGAAAATACAGGACAACTTGTTATAGCTACCGCACGGTACCTGACACCTGCAGTTGTGAAGTATAAAATTCCGGAAGAAGGGTGATCCATCGGGAGCATTAATAACTACAAAACTACATAAAAATTGCAGATTCGGTTTGATTGGGTCTATAAATGAGGAAAAGAATAAGTGCAACATTCCTCACGCCCCATAGCACATAAATGAGCGGCACTCAATGTATATATGACAAAATACATATTTTGTTTTGGGTTAATATTAGCATTGTCACAAACAAAATACAAAGTTTCCAAAAAGAAACAAAATATTGAAAACCTCTGTGGCCAATTAATGTCTTTTTCATAATTTACAACAAGACACACACAAAATGTTTTGGACAAAAATACAGCATTAAGAGCCTTCTATAATTTGTATCATTATGGGAAATAAATAATTAAAGGGAAGTAAATGCATGATATATATTTATTTTGTAAAATTATATCAGTTATTCTCCATTTTGTCATTATCGCTGTTTTTTTCGCGGAATCTTTTGGTTTCCTTTTTTTGTGGATTTCATTACATTCATAAGTACTATCGAAATTTCCGAATCCGGAACTTCTAACATTCGGAAACTTCTGAAATCCAAAATGTCTTCTTCTGTTTTCCATAAAATAAATACCTCTGAATTACGGAACTTCTTAATTCTGAATTCCGTAATATTTTCTGGTAAAATTGGTTTATATCACTTCAAATTACTTTCAAATTCCGTACATTGAAAAAGGTATATCATAAATATCATAAATGCGATTGTAAAACATTCAAAATGTCATTTTTTCCAATCAGCAGAAACCATTTATTATGACATCTGTTCAGCATTACAGCATGTCAATGTAAAATAACATTGACTACATCTCAAAAATAAAAGCAAAATAATGACAGATATAATTTAATGCGTTATAGATCGAAAACACATACGGAGCACTTCATATATAATCGGACATAGTGATATTGTCTCGAGGTATTCGCCCTCTCCCCTCACCTATATTACATGTTTTCTCTATGCTTTAACAATTTCGAGGTTATATCGTTGTACCATCTATCGTTATTTATATAAAACAGCATAGCACCGTCATATTCTTGTCTCAATTCTCATTTCTTTTTGCAGTACCTGCTAACAGCGTGCTGTCCAGTACGTTCTGACGTCATTAAATTGTTTTGTCAAAAATTCAAATTAACAAAGTGATTTAATTAACGCTCAATAACAATGAAGTCAAAATTAGGCAACAAACGTCACAAATATATTTTTTGCAACGTCCAATGCCTTTCTGTACACTTCCGTGTAAAGTATATCACAAAAACAACATATGATGTATTTGCAAAATGGTATATTCTCAAAGTGCTCCTTAGGTTCTGGTACAAGGTTGCCTTTGTAACTGGTATTAAGTGCTTGTGTGCACACAAGCTATAATTTGAAAACATTACTTGAGATATTATTTTTATCTAACAAAATCCTACAGCCTTTACATTAATATAAGCCCCCCAAAAAAATGTTTTTTGTTGTCACCGGAATTTACAGATGGCCTTTGTTTATCTTAGATGATTGATTCTTTTACTAAGATAGTTTTCAAGAGCAGTTTAAATGTATGATACTGGTGCGTTGTATTCGTCAATTGCCGTGTCCATGCGTATTCGTGCGTGTTCGTTCCTGCGCGCGTGTGCGTGTGTTTGTTCACGTTTGTTTGCTCTGACAAAATACACTCATTGTACCTTTATGTTTAATATTGATTGTTTCATTGATGAAAAAAATGATATCGCCTATCTTATTGTGATTATTATTATACGTACAGTAAAAACAGCCTATGATTGTTTAGAGTTTACAAGTAAACAAAACACGCGCTTTAACGTATCGACATAATATAATGCTAGTAGTTCTTGTGCATTAAATATAATTATAACAAGGATTATAGCTTTATTAAATGGATTTATAACAAATTACAGTAAGGTTCATTATTCATATGATTTTTTTTTAAATTACATTTACAGTGTATTTCCAATTTACATGTCATGCACATCCATTTAAAAGGGTTGGGGTTACCGTTCATTTCCATTTACATTAATTGCATATACATTTTATAGGGTTAGGGTTACTGCATATCTATTTTACATGACAATTGAGCGTAAGTTATTTGGCGACGTAAAAAGTTGTAAAAGAGAGAAAATTCACTGTGCACAAAATGTTGAACAATTAAAAAAATAATGTGTGATTGAAAATGGTGGATATACTCCAACAAATTGGGCCATATGAGTATCAGTTAAGTCAATTAAAAAAACTTCATCTATGATTTAAAGTTCATGAAATCAATATATGCCAGCGAGCAAGCTCGAAAATGAATAAGGACAAAAGTGAAAGCATATGTGTTACTTATTACGTTATCAATTTTAATGCAACATTCAAAATATAAATATTGTTTTAGAGTTTTTAATTCCTTTATTTATACGTTTTGATTCCCCGACTTTAAAAGGGTATATGTTTTGAAATAGAACATACAATTATTTTGATTTCTTTCTTATATTTTGATCCATTGTCTACCTTGCCAGCAAAATATCACTTTTGTTTAACTTAATCAAATGCAGGTTTCTGTTTCGAATAATGTTGCCGCACGTAAATTAAACACTATATCAATATATTGCAGAATGTAAGAAATAAGGAAACTATTAACCAACGGGTTAATATACAGTTGTCGCTTCATGTGATTAAAAATTGCAATTATACAACAGCAATACCGGAATCTAAGTTGTAAAGCAAATGTTGTGGTACTTGAGTACCAAAAAAAATTGAAAAAGTAAGAAGAAAAAAAACAGCTGTGATCTATTTGAATTATAATAATTGTACATCTGTTTCAACAATGTGATTATTTAGTAAGAACATTCAAACTTATTATGTTTGAACAGCTGTTTCATTACATGTCGCTAATTGCGATAGATTGTTTTACAGAAACGGTGAAGAGTGTAAAAAGCAAAAACACAAGAAAAACAACAACAAAGAAAATTATTATTCATTAATAAAAAAATTGTTATCAGGTGAAAAGACAGGAGATTTTTGGGGATAAAATGTCTACAAGATACTTTGAGAAATAAAGATGATTTAGCTTTCATGAATAACATTCCAGTTTTATCATGAGAGTTGAAACACAGGCTAGGATCAGTTGAAATTAGATGTCAGTCTCGATAGAATTCTCATTTAAACCGTTATTACCAGAAAATTGTTCAGTGCAAGGAAATAATGATCATTGTGTTGTTTTTATGAGATAACAGGAAAAAAAGAGAAAAAAAAGGGTTGGTCAAAAGGTAGCGAAAAGGAAAAAGGAAAAGAAAAGGGAATTGCATGAAATTAAAAGAGTGAGTTAAAATAAAAACCAAAATTTGCAAACAGTGCAGAACACGAAAAATTCTCAGCAGTTAATCTACAAAACATAGATATGATATCTTTTGCAGGTGATAAAACAAAAAGGATTGCATTTTAGGACTATTTTCAAAGTGCTGTGCACAGAAACATAACATTATCAAATGTTGAAAAATTAACTTACTTGAAAAGAGGAGTTTCATGGGGAAGCAATGGATGCAATTGATGAAGTAGCAGTGACGAATGACAACTACCACCAAGCTATTGATACTTTAAGAAACATTTTTGGGGAAATTATAGAAATTCATTACAATAGTTTAATCAACATTCTACCATTTATAAACAGAGTCAGCAATTTAAGGATTTTCATAGATGAAGTAGATAAGCTTTTTAGAAGATAACAAGTTTTAGATCAAAGTATCATAGAAAGAAAATACTAGTATTAAGAAATTCATGCTTCAAGTGTTTGAGGGTCGGTCATCAAGCAAGAGAATGCAAGATAAGAAAAAAATGCTATTACTTCAAACCAGCCAATGTTCATCATAACAGTTTATGTCCAACAAATTTCAAAATAGCAATTACAATCTTATGAAAACGCTCAAAGGGTCGAAGTAAAAAAAGGACGAAAACAATAAGTACACACATATTGAACCAGGTCTACTTTCAATAAATGAAACAATTTTAATGCGAACTATCACGACAAAAATACGTAAAATTGAAAATATGAAAATGTAAGATTAATGTTGGATTCGGGAAGTCATAGAACATGTGTGTAAGAAAACCAAGCAGGTAGACTCAAACTTTAAACTACAGGGAAGCAAAATATACAAGAAAGTGATAACTTGTGGGAGTAAAAGAAGACAATTTATGTCAATTACTGCAAACATTGTACCAAGTATTACTGGAAATTTAAGAAGAAAAACTATAAAATTGACATCACAGAAAAATTACCCACAATTGACACAAAAACTTACAATGACAGATGAAAGTGACAGATTAGACTTGCTCATTAGATTTGAAATTGTAAAATCAGATTAAATGGAAGAACAACCAGAACTCCATCTATTGTCATTATGTTTAGGATGGATATTAACTGGTAGAACAAAGGTAGATGAAGATCAAATGTCGAATTACAATGATGTTCAAATGTCAATTCTACAACATTGAAGCTCTGAATCAAAACGTTATACAAGTGTAGATGAAGCTGTGCCAGCAAAACATGAATTAGAATATTAATGGAGTATTGTGTCATTTGGAATCAAGCCTATTGAAGATTCCGAAGTGCAAATAATTATGTCAAATTTAAAGGAAACGTTGCAATATCATGAAGGACGGTATAATGTGAATTTGCTATGGATGGACAACAAAAATGATCTTCCTACCAACCGTGAACATAATGAAATTAACAGTAACAAGAATACACCAGAAACGTGACTTGATGAAAACATTATAAAATATGTGTTACAAAACAGAAAACAGTATTAAACACTATATGTGACACCATGCTATTCTTACTCGCGAGAAAACAACAACAAAATTGAGGTTCATTTACTATGCATCTGCAAAAACAAAATATAATTTGAATGCATGCCTTAACCGTGGAATAGTTATGATACATGGTTTATTTCAAATATTATTAAGATGCAAGTTACATCATAAAGGTATAGCTGAATATTGAAAAAGCATTTCATCAAGTAAGATGACAAAAGAAGCTAGATATGTCACAAAGTTCCTATGATTAAAAGCTATTTAAAAGGGAATGTCAGACATGTCAAATGTTGACGAATATTGGTTTTGCACAGTGCCTTTTGGCTTGGCGTTTTACATTAGGTGCTATTGAATGCCATTTTATGAAAACGAAATTGCATGAAACTAAAATTGATATTTACGTTGATAATCTTATCCCAGGTACAAGCGGAGAAGATGTATTAATACATTTGTACAATATGATTAATAAAGTACTTGGACATATGTGGGACATTGAAAATGACACACTTGGGTTTATCAAAAGTGTTTCGCAAGAAACCAAGTGTTATAAAAAGGAATGAATTAATGAAAGTTATATCAAGATCCGTTAGGACTATCTACCGCGGTTGCAATGCAAGGACATTTATTTATTTTAAAAACAAACTATGGAAAAGAAAGCTAGACTGGGATGAAAATGTTAACGAAAAGGAATTCAAAGAATTGAGTATAATAATACTAAACAAACTAACTAACTAACTAACTAACTAACTAACTAACTAACTAACTAACTAACTAACTAACTAACTAACTAACTAAAAATAACTAACTAACTTACTAACTAACTACTTGGAATGTTTTACGGATGCGTCGGAAATGTTATCGCAACGTTGTTGATGTTTGCTATTGACTAAAAATGAAGTAACATGAAAAAAAACAAAAAAAACAACAAAAAAACAAAAAAGAAACAGCAAAATCAAAGAAAACATTTATCTTCTTGTTCATATTGTCAATCAAATTCTAAATATCTTATTGAACATTAATTCACAAATTTTCTTTAAATTTCTATTTCAGATTAGTCCAAAACAGAACTGAGGACATACGTTTGACTTACAGTTAAGAATTTTCAAGTCTAAGATACGGAGGAAAACGGAAAAAGTCGTTGTTACAGTAGAAACAGCCTTAACTGATTTTTGATCATCTAAAAATGGAAATATGTGTAAAAAAGTTAGGCATAGAAGTCCGAGGGGTCCGTCTAACAGACCCGACAATATCTTCAGACGAAATGGTTGAACAAATCCAGAAGTTAGTTACGAAACATCGCATCTTGATTTTTAGAGACCAGGGTGAGGTGAGCGGAGACAAGCATGCTGAAATTTCCCGATGGTTCGGAACCATTGGTGGAACATTGTCCAAGGATGATCCACTTTATTCCCATCCCAAATGTCCTCATCCAGATGTGTATAGAATTTCGAATGACCCTGAAGAAGGCTGCATTAATGTTGGACGTTCCGGTTGGCATATTGATGGTAGTTACTTGCACGAGCCTTTCGGATATGCTTTGTACCATATAATTGCTGTACCAAAGACAGGCCCTACAGGTCACGAATCAAAATTAAATATATTTATTTACGAGCAGTTTTCTTGTTTTTATTACTAAATATTATTTATTTCAGAACACATGACTAAAATAAGTTTTTTTTATTGACTAATCAAACCATCAATATATCATTTGCACCAAAAGAAGGCAAGCGTTTTACAGTAAGCTATGTTTATTATAATTCCAACATTTCCCCTTTTTGGTTCAATTCCATATTAACATAAATTTACTAAAGGTATTGCAAGTTAGGATCTTTAACAGTAAGGTACTGACATAACATTTTAAAAGATACAATAATACTTATATAATTTTCTCACAGAATTTATTGGTTTTAAAGAGCTGATTAACAGCATTTCTGAAGAGACGAGAGCAAGATGGGAGCGTCTATGGATGGTGGCTGACAAGGGAGAAAACCTTGCTCATCCCTTAATTTATGCTCACCCAGTAACTGGAGAATCCGTAAATAATTTCATCTTATTTGAATCACTAATATAGTATCTGATATGGTTGTATATATGCATAAAGCGTCAAATTCTGTTGTATTCACATAACGATTTATATTATACATTTACCACTTAATTATGAAGAAACTGTGAAATATACAATTATAAAAAGTAAGAATATATTCAACACGACCAGATTGTTATCAAATAATGAACACCTCGCGAAAAAGATTTATTGAGTAAAATTGTAACACTTGCAGCAAATTGTTTTCAGTTAATATAAAGGAAAGGAGATGATGCAAAAAAAGTATACATTGATTGAAAATAAACTTCCTAAATTTCATGATTCTTCAGTAATTCTCAATGTTTCGATGTATCGGAAGATATTTGTATTTCTTGAAGAAAATATAATGTTCTCTCAACATAGCAAATGAAAAAAAACATCTGAGGTGTATCTGTAGTATAGATCTTTCAACAACTAGAAAGCTTAAACTAAGTTTATGTAAAAAGATGCATGAGTTTAAACCATTTATTATATGTGTTAAAGCACCCCAAACAAGTTAAGCCTGACCGTCATCATAATTTCAAATTTAGGTAATGTGTATTCATCTGGGCATGACAAAGGCTTTTATTTGGGACAAAGACACACCCAATGAGCAAATAACTAATTCGGATGAGACAAATGAATTATTACAAGAAATCAGATCAGAGATTGAAAAGGACGGAAGAAGATTAATATATTCGCATGAGGTTTGTAGTTTACTATTTCAACCATTTAAAAATTATGATGTCCGAAAACAATATACATATATGTCTTGTTTGCGACACATCGGTGGGTTCTACTTTTACACAATTAAAACCTTTGAGTGATGTGAGGGGTGTCATTTTGGAAAAAGGATCAAAAAGTCTTCGATTGACCTTTTAGTATCAGTAGAAACTCAACCATATTTTTCAATTTTAGAATATACCATTGCTTTACCAAAATAATTGTAATGTTTAATTATGATTGATAAGAGATGCATACAGTTTAATCATAAAAAGAGTGTCAAAAAGTGATCAGACCCAAAACATGAGACAAATAAAGAATCCCTAAAGAACGCACAACACGGCAAAAACTGAAAATGTTGCAGGCTTGGTTTGATTTAGCCTGTTTATTGACGGTAATGGAAAGTGCAAGTTTCACCACTCTCCCCATTTCGCCCTTACAGCCCTTATCCCTTTCTTTCCCATATGGCCCGTTTTAGTTTATATCCTGTTCCTGAATTTAAAAACCTTTTTTAACATAGAAATAAACCTGTAATGGTATTTAATATTTGGGCTTTTGGTCAAGATGTCGGTATTCCTGCAATATCCATAGTTGAAATGTGCTTGTTTACCCACTATTAATACATGTCGAGCTTGTCGATACAGTTTAAAGACAATTGATTATTATATACATTCTGATATGGTGTGATCTTTCTACTTCCTAAAATATGTAAAGCATACTAAGTGAGATTACTTAAATTATCTAATACTTGAATATTGACTCTTCTGTATTATGTGCAAAGACATGTGTTAAGCAAAAGAACGCCCAGATTGCTAATGTTTCATTATTTTGTATAAATTTATTGATTATGGTCTTATCACCCTTAGGTTATGGAGCCTGTTATTTTGCAATTAGTCTTTTGACGTCTTATCTTTGATATGTAGGCTTCAAACCTCAAATCCCATTGTAAATTCAATTTTGTTTATCTCCGCCTATTGGTTTATTATTTTAGGACAAACGCATTCTTTTACATGGGTAGCATTCGCCGCTTGGTATAGTATGAAAGTGCTCCATTCAAAGTTCCATGATAAAACCCTATGAACACATCTGTGCATGTTTCTAAGTTCAATATTTCACCATTTTTTATGTTTAATATATGATATTGCTTGAGTCGGTGCTGGGAGGCGTGGACGGTAGATTGCAGTTACCAATTCCGTCCATAAATAGGCTCAATCAAACCGAGCCTGCAACATTTTCATTTTTGTCGTTTTTACGTTCTTTAGAGATTCCGTTTTCCTCTATTTCATTGCCTTATCAGTGGGTTTTTGTACCTTGGCGAAGCTCTTAAAAACACTTACATAATCAAAGATGTTGTATTTTTGATCTTTACAGATTGTTCAGCACGACATTATTGTTTGTTCATGCTTTTGGTATTTTTAGTTCTTTCTTTTTGATCTTTTTATACTTGGGTGGTGATACAGAGTCTGCAACAATTTCAATTTTAACAGTTCATTGTTAAGAAAAAATATTGAATTGGAGATTAATTGTGTTCTATTTTAGTGGAAAGATGGAGATTTTCTAATAAGCGATAATCTTGCTGTGGGTCATTACGCCAGCGATAGTTCTGCAAGGGATAAGTCGGAGATAGGATTACGAATTCTTCATCGTACAACCGTTAAAGGAATCAGTAGACCGACAAAGATGATTTAAAATGAAGCAAGATGTGTGTTTTGGTGATATATATTATTTTTCGGAAGACTATGGGTTATTTAATTGTGCGGGATTTATTTAATTGTTTATTTATTTAATTTAATATAATGTTTTTTTATAACTTTAAACACATCATTATAAAATTTTCTCTAGGATACACTTATCTTTTTTACAAGTGGTGCTTCGACATTTTTAAACCTTAAGATAAAAGGAATTAAAAATATGATGACAGATGAAAAAGCGTATGAAATGAGGGTGATTTATGAAACTTTTAAAAAATGTATATATAAACGACATATTGCTATTTAAAATAAAACCGAACTGGTATTATGGGTTAAAAATATCCTGATACACATATATTTTTATCATGTAATTTTTTCTCTCCTCTTCTTCTTCTTTCTTCTTCGTTATTTAAATTGAAATAACACACATATTAAGCATGTTTTAAATGTATTATGCCATATGAACAATCATGTACGATTTTTTTTAATTCACTGTTCTTGAGAATGACATTATAAATTTAAATAGACATAATTAATTGTTTTAAAGAATTTTGATCTCTCCATGAGGATTTTTGATTGATTGGTGCCTCAATTAATATCTATTTTATTATTTACCTCATGTTGTCTTGTTTATATTGTGCATGTATTGTGTGAAATAAAGATATTGTATTGTATTGTAAGTATATTAATTTTACCTGAAGTACGATTAGTATAACAGCTAAACAACGTTATGTTCTGAAATTAGAAACAAAAACAACAGGTATGATTAATGATAATTACAAGTGAAAAGCGTTTTTAAAACACACAACTGATGCTGTTTATTTGTTTTGTTTTCGTTTTTTTAAGTGTGTGTTTTTATTATTTGAAATGATTTAAAAATAGCGGATTAATTGCATCAATGTAATGTTTGTTTTTTATTAATACATGTACCATTAAGATATGCCTTTGTATTTTAGCGTGTCAGAAAAAGATCATTAACATAATTGATTTAAATAGAGAATAACTGAATTAAACAATTATACTACTATAAAGTATTTACTTTTAAGAAAATTATGCTTACTAAAACATTTGCACAAAATGAGACAAAAGACAATACTACCATACATATATGTTCATGTGTGCCATGGGTATATATTTATATTTATTGTGTGTTTTTTAATGGCTCAATTTTTCAGAGTTAAAAGAACTGATCTGTTTAAAAAAGCACGAATAAAATGTTTATATAAAATCTAAAACAAAGCTTAAAGTCCTAAATGTGCATTGTATTTTCTATGTGAGGATATGTTTATGTCTAATGCAAAATCAATGAATAAGATGTGTTTTTTAAAGCAACATATTGTGATTATATATACGTTCATTGCCGTTAAAGACTACCTGAATTCTAATTAAGATAAAAGTCATTTTTGTTATACCTGCTATATCATACTGAACATTTCATCCATTTCAATTAGATTGTTTTCCTGTGATAAACATTTGTAACCGAGTACATATGTTTAAATTATTAAACGCCAGAGAACTGTTAAGATATGGTAATTAATTTGAATATATGACAGCTTTGTAGTATAATGTAACCATTAAAATATTGCAAAATCATACTACTGCGCTGCCACAGGTCCGCTTTTGCTAAGTTCAGATGTGGAACTCCACACTAATGAACGCCTACCAGTAAAAAGGCTTTGTCCCTTTTGTAATGACAAGGTAGAAAGTGAATTTCACGCTGTAGAGGAACGATTTATGTATGAAGATATAAGTGCAGATTTATTTGAGAAGGTGAGTGTTAAAAACCAATAATTTCACACAATGACAACTATGTAGAAGTTTATCTTTATATTCTCAAATGCGAGTTGCGTACGGTTTATTGCCAAAACCTGCATTGACATACTTAAGAGAAGGGTAACTTTCCTTCACAAAAAAGAATACACAAATTGCTCCTTTTTATGGTTTGTCTTTGATATATATTTTTTATCTGACTTTAAAATATGTACATTGTATATAAAAGAATAACAGATAAATGTTTATACTTGAATGTGGGTTTTAAGATAAATGTTTTATCTACACTAAGACTGTGTCTTGGACATATTAAACATTGTTACTTACTTTTTCGAATAGTGGTTTGATATGGTCCAAGATAAATATAATTGGACAGTATAATTTTTTTAGTGAAACCAATCTGAGGAAATTTTAATTGACAGGATATGGTTTTAAAAATGTCATTAATTGACTTATAATTCTAAGTATTGACAGCCATATACATAAAATATTGGATAATTATATGTTGCACTTGTATGAGGCATCCATTGACGACCAAAGAATTGATATAACAAGTATTCATGTTAATTATGTTGAAGAAAACAAATCGTTGAAATACTCAAGTTGGTAACATTTTGAGAATGTAAAGTATTGAGTAAAATAAATGACATTCTTTCCAAGGTTAAATAATATGTAATGGTCAACTTATATTCTTACTACTTGCATTTAAACATTTTAGTATAATTTTTTTATTCATTGTGTTCCATTTTATACCACATTGTAAACTTCTGCAAGAAAAAATGGTCTGTGGAGTTGTCTCCCTTAGGGACAAAAGAAAATGATCTCTTGTAGTTCTGTTTAGAAAATTTAATCATGTATTATATGTTTGTGTTTCATGATTTATATTTATTTTAATGTTTACATGTAAAGATGAGACTTAAATAAATAAATAAACAGTTACAGTTAGTTAATGGTGACCAATAGTTTGTTGATCTAAAGGTGGATGTTGATACATTTACTTCGAAACAATAGGATTTATTACTGGCAATATTTTCTAAGCAAACCAAAACTCCTTCTTTGACCTCAGTACAATGCATATTGTTTTGACTGTATTCATAACACAATAACTGATTAATTGACATACGTTTGTTTTCTCATTTATCGTTTAGCTTTACTGTTAGGGTAATGGACTTTAGTGCCAGGAGGTACTTTGTACCAGGAATGTCCAGATATTACATATAATATTTGAATAAAACGATATTTTGTATGTAAATGTTTTCACTATAATTTCTATCAAAATATGGTAGTTTTTTAAGAAAATTCAAAGGTTTAATAACCCTATTCACATAAATGTTTTTAAGCATAAAAACCAGCAGTATTGTTATCGAGATGGACCCAACATTACATTTTGAATGTGTGTGCAAATGCTTATTTATTTTATATCATTTTACCGTGTGATAATTGATGAATATTAGATAGAACTTTAGTATCATTAGCAGTAATGGACCATTTACATATGTGTTTAACTTTTTATTGGTTGTTTAAAAGTCTTTCCTGGTATTAAGTACTTATAGAACAAAAACGGCTATGAGGTTATTTACAGAACTATCTGATTAATAGTTTAAATTTTCTTTTGGATAATTGTTATTTTTATCCAAAACTGGTAGCTTCTACAGTAAATAACCATTTTATCCTCAAATAAGGCTTACATTCCCTGTAGATAGTACAACAAGGATATTAATAATTTTTACTTTTTTTTATTAATAATAAAGATAAATGGTAGACTTTTTGAATCGACGGTTTCAAAATATATATATATATATATATAATATTAGTAAACAGAGTATTCATTAAACTCGCTGTACATAATTGTGTATGAGTCAAATAAATGTGACGGCAATTATTATCAAAACCTTTTTATCGATTGTATGGCAGTAAATGTATTTTTTAGGGAAAATTGAAGAATTCAAGAGTACGAAATTCAAAGAAATATACGTTAACTAGATATCCTGATGTTCGTCTATAAAATATCTCAAGAAGAATACTTTTATACAAATGTATTACTAACAATTGTAGGATTTAGTATTTATAAAAATCTGGAAACAAATTAATACCTCATGAGCATTAATCACAACAAAATTACATGAAAATTGCAGACTCGGTTTGAGGAATAATGAATAAGTGCAACATCTCTCACGCCGCCTAGCACCCGCTTGGGCTGTACTCGATTCTTAACACTTAATAGCGCTGGCATCAGAAAAATATAACAACACTGAAGTGAAGACCGGGGCGCCTTTTTACAGCTGCCACACAGCACTTGACACCTGCTGTTGTGATGTATAAAAATCTAGATTCAAAGTGTTCCCTCGGAAGCATTAATCACAACAGAATTACATGAAATTTGAAGACTCTTGCAAATTGCATAATAAAGCCTTCTTTTGCAGTAACAAATGGTCAAATGAATTTGATATGTTGGAACTGTTTAAAACAAAATTTGAAATAATGTATACAAGAAAATGAAACTAAAACATTTTGACAAGACATTTATTGTTTTAAAATATTTATACTTATCTCTAGATACGTTCTTGGCTTTTATCCCTTTGTTTGTTTTGTGTCTACGTGTATGTTGTTCTATAACATACAATATCTCAAATTGAATTTACTTAACTATCTCATTACTTATATGTATAATTATGCATATATAATATTTGTAAAAAAAAAAGATAAATTTAGGAATAAATTGGTCAATTTTAAATCCAAATTTATATCAAACGCAATTTTATTGTAAAACTTAAGAAAATTATAAAATAAAATATTAAAATAAAATGAATAGATAAATATTGTATTGTATAGTTTTGTATTGCTTTTTGATATACATATTTTCAGAAATAATAAATTAAAATATTAAAAAAGGTAAATTGATCAATAAATTGATCAATTTTGAACCAAACTTATAACAAACGCTGTTTTATCGTAACATTTTTAGAAAAAAGAACGAAAATATCGAATAGATTATTTGATTAATAAATTTGTCAATTTTAAAACCATACTGACAACAAACGCTAATTGATTGTAAAACTTTCAGGAAATGACAAATAAAAAAAGAATTAAAAAAACACAAATTAGATTAATTGGTCTGTTCAAAACAAAACTGATTTCAACACGTTCATAATATCATACCTTAAACGATTTAGAAACAAACTGATATCCAATTCTATTTTATTGTAAAACTTTCATGAAAAATAAATTGAAAGAAGAAAAACAAATAAATGAATTGATTAACACATTGGTGAATTTTTAATCCAAACTGATTTCCAACGCTTTTTATTGTCACACTTTCAGATATTAATTGAAATGTTTAAAAATCAAATAGATACATTAATGAATAAATTGATCAATTTTAAAACCGAACCAATATCCAACACTATCTTATTTCAACAATTTCAGAAATTATAAATACAAATATCAAACAAGAGGGACATGATGGCCCTGGATCGCTCCCCTGACCCATCAACCTCATCCAAGCAATGTCTTAGACAAGCATCCTGGCCAAGTTTGATGACAATTGAGTAAAATATGTGATCTTTATTGTGTTAAAAAGGTTTTTCCATATTTGGGCAATATGACTTAGTTTTTTAAACAACCTTCCTGACAAACTTCCAGAATATTTGGATTAAAACTGCAGCCACTAGAGTGTTAACAAGATTTTTCTATTTTTAGCTCCTTTGACCTAATTTTTGACCGGAGATGACCCATCTTCGAACTTGACCTAGAAATCATCAAAACAACCTTCCTGACAAATTTCCAGAATATTTGAATCAAACTGCAGCCACTAGAGTGTTAACAAGATTTTTTTCTATTTTTAGCTCCTGTGACCTAGTTTTTGACCGGAGATGAACCATCTTCAAACTTGACATAGAATTTAATGTAAAAATATCAACGTGAAGAAAACGATTTATGAAAATGTTCAAAAATAGTATTTTTGTGAGTAAAAGAATTTGATTTGCTTATATTTAAGTCACGGCGTAAAATGATTAATTTTATCTAGTGGTATAACGTCATTTGTGAAGTACATGTCAAAATCACGCTTTGTGCGCGTAAGATAAACTTACAAAAAAGCGTATAATATGTTTTATAAACTTAGTAGAAAAGAAAATATGAACACAATTTAATGACGACATTGGAATTTCACTACTTTGTGCGTATTGACATACAGGTGGTCGGTAGCTAGTTCCAAAATATATGCTAACTATTTTAGATATTTGTAATTATTAATATGAATATGAATTTACGAGCTTTTGTAAAACATAATATATTTATAGAAGTATGACATTTATTACTTAAAAAAGTCGAAAACTTATCTTCAACATGGCATTTGATTTTATTAAAAACATAGAACACATTATTATGCCCCCACTACCCACCTTTTACAAACAATTCCAGGTCAAGGACTATAACAATGACAGCACTATCACAATTACACGCGCAAGTCCCAAATGCACATAATTATGCTGACCAACATTCTTGTAAAGTTTCTAGATCCTATCTCAAATACTGTTTGGGCTACATGCGTCACAAGTATAAATTGCAAATTCGTACTTACTGAAGAAATTAACTCTGGTATTTCTGCGGAAATTACTCTGATATTTCTGCGGGAATCAACAAGCTTAACCTTAGATGAACAACTATATTCCTGTTGGTTTTGTGACCATGCCCTTGTTCAAATACTGTTGATACTACATACGACACAAGTTGACAATTTCCGATTTGACTAAGTCAAGGGCAATTACTCTGGCATGACTGCCCAATTCGACAAGCAAATCTCCAGATGCGCAATAACATAATGCTGACTAACGTTCATGTAAAATTTCATGACTTTAACTAAATTATTTATGGAGCAACACTAAAGATTCCGGGACGGACAGACGCACGTAGTCAGACACAGGCGCACGGACAATTAAAATGTTTTAATTTCCCCTCCCCCTCAGAGGGTCGGGGCTAAAATCGATATTTTATCATCAACTCAATAAATACTAATGTTAAAATATTTGTAAATATTTTCGACCAAGCCAGTCACTGTATATTGACAATGTAGGTATCTTACTGGAAAAAATGATAAGCAATGCTGATTTACGATGGCGATGATGATGTTTGATTGATGGTAATAATGATGCTGTTGTTGCTGTTGTTGATGATGATGTATTGTTAACGTTGATGAAAGTAGGTTAAAACAACGATGGTTATGCTAGTTTACTAGGGTTAGGGTTAAAATGTGTGACATATACGGTCAGGCATTTACTATCAAATTACTGAAACGTATATAGCACATAAAGACAGCTGTGATTGATTCGGCCGAATATGTCCCACACGTGTGACATATACGTTCGTGACATATACGGTCTGACAAAGCATATCGATGACGATTCCGGGAGTCAAGTCAGGTAGGAAGGTTTTTAATTGATTTTGAGAGAATTCCCAAACACAAATGGTGTAATTCACACAGGGATATTAATTGATTAATTAACAAAAACATTAAATTAAACGCGAATAATATCTAAAAAAGCATTAATATTACAATAAATTCCGCGATAAGTGAATTTTAAACACATATAATCTTCTGCAGAGAATATGCGCGTACTCGCATAATGAATTAGGTAATAAGTCATAGTGGGACGAAAATTGTAGCGAACTAAAACAAATTAAGTTCGCTACGTTACGAAGAATTCGATGGACAAATGATTTACAAGATTTTTAGAATTATATTCATTTGCGCAAACAGTTTAAGAAAAGGTGTTATATCAAAAACACCTTTATAAATATCTGGGAAAGGTATACTAAAATATGATCAACAAGATCATCAAGGAAAGGCGGCGTTCAACGAACGCAGCCCCCACCCGACCCAGTAACAAGAGCCAGCGGCAAGGAGCCCAGGAGGACCACAAACAAAAACAGGAAAGGGCACAAGGCAGAGCACGGGCAGGCAAACTACTACCTAATATTAAATAATAAGTAACTGATAAGGAACTAAAAGAAAACAAATAAAAGATTGAATATTAGGCCCATAAAGTCAAAAGGCACAGGGAAAGGGGACATGAGACCCGGGGAGGTGGGGGGATAAATAGAATAAATTAAAACTAGGAGCAAAGGGGGAGATACTTACCGTAGACGAGAAAACAACAAGAGACACAAAAGTGTCACAAAAACAGTATAAAACAACATAGACAAACCTCTGAGGAACACAGAGGGACGCCGCCTTTGAACGGTTAGCAGCACAAATACTGCCGGTTAATGGTGCACCAAACCTCACTCTTAGCCCCACCATGTTCCTATAAACGAGACAGTGTAAATAAAATGAATCCTCCGCCAACTGAAATTCTAACAGTTGTCATGGTTACAAAAGGTGAAATAAGTAAAACATCGAAATGCTCATGTAGAAACATACAAAAAAAAACAATGACCATAACAAAAGTACTCAATGTCTTAAAACATACTAAAAGAAACGAGTTATACTTAACATCACTAATTCCGCGTCATCACTTATTTCACGGTAATGACATAGTTTCATTATTGTTCATAGTGTTAAAATTGGCCAGAATTGACACATTTTATTCATACACCTAAACAACAAAGTTTTTGTGCAAAATATTTTAAATCTCTAGATTTTTACGTCAAATAGAACAACATTTTACAAATTTCTGCAAAAAGCAAAAAATATCCCTTTAAATTTGTGCACACGTCTGAAACAATTATTTTCTAAATGTATCTGTTTGTTGGAAAAATAAATTTTGTGTTACAAATTAAAGGTAGTTTTAATATTTCAAATAAATCAAAAGAACATGTAGAAATTTTAACTGAAACATGAACAATCTTAAGTGTAACACTATTTACCGTGATTTAAATGATGACAAATTGTTTTCAAAATGGCCGACATATGTTTTATGTCTTGCCCACTAAAACTGATTTTGACTGAATATATTCTTGTTTCCTTGTGTTATACAGCAGAAAATACCTTTATATTACAGCTTATGACACATTTTGTACCATTACTTTCATTTGTTGTTTTCTTTCTTGTTTCAAAGCGTTAAGTACCGTGAACTAAGAGGAGTACAGTTTACTTCATTGTAATTAAAATCCCAAAGCATTTCGGCAAATATTGAAATCTAGTAAAGGTTAACATTTTTGCTTTGCTCTTTAATAGTTTCTTTTATATTTAAAGTGCTTTGTTTTCTTTTTTCTATCTCTAAATTAAATGGTTTAAATCTATTATGTGTACTATAAGTTTTATATGTCATAAACTAATTCTTTCGTTGTTTTAAATTTTGTGTAAAAATGTAAATAAATGATCTAAAATACTATTTCTTCTATCCATAACACCTTGCACAAATACAACTTTAACTTTACAGCACACAAGACACATAAACTTAATGTTAAAGTAATTGTTTCTAAAAAAAAATATAGAAATAAAAAAAGGCTACTTGTATCACTCACAAGGTATATAATAATGTTTTGTATTTATTGTGTAAGTTATATACATTTTGTACATTTAAATAGTAAAATACATTAAAATGTACTTTTACTAAATTAAAAATGCTATACATTTACAAGATATATTTATAATGTTTGAATAAACTAACAAAAGTTATTAATCATATTTAAATGAGTACATGTAAATTCTTATTTAAATTAATTCATTTAATTTTAATATAAGTACAACAATATTGTTTGTACTTTATTTATAATGCCTTATTTCCTTTTCATGCCCATTTTTTGTCACTACACCAAATAAATATATCTAGCAAAAAAAACCCTATTGTATGTCTTGCCCTTTAACCATAAATGCCCAGCTGCTAGATTATTTCAGAGGCTTAATAAGGAATGATAATCTTCCAGGATTAAATAATATTGATTTAGTTTAATCATATTTTATTGCTAATATATACATGTAAATATACAGAGAAACAAATTGATTTCAAAATAACACATAGCAAAAGGGTTTGGCCCAAGTTCTTACAACATTAACGATCGGCCCTTCCCTGAAGAATCAACATTGATGGCATTTATATGAAAAAGTGTAACATGTAAACATATAAAGCGATCAAAGAAAAACGATAAAGACAGCTTAACATCAAAAAGATTAAAACAATGTAAGAAATAAGTTAGACAGAAACTAGAAATGTGTCCATAGGACACGGATGCCCCCACACGCCACTGTTCTGTCAATCTTAATACTTTAGGTCAAATATTTTTTTGGACTACATGTGCCACAAGTTGAAAACTAAAAATCAACAAAGGGCCATAATTCTGTTAAATTGATCGTAGCAAAAATTCCTTCCTTTACTACCATCTACACATTAAGGTTGTTCATCCCTGGAAGTTTAAGCAAAATCTGCCATCCGGTTTAAGAGGAGTTGCGTTCACAAAATTTCTGCATAATATATAGTAAAAAAATCAACAAAGGGCCATAATTCTTTTAATTTGGTCGCAGCAAAAATTCCTTCCTTTACTACCATCTACACATGAAGGTTGTTCATCCCTGGAAGTTTAAGCAAAATCTGCCATCCGGTTTAAGAGGAGTTGCGTTCACAAAATATCTACATAGTATATAGTGAAAAAATAAACAAAGGGCCATAATTCTGTTAAATTTGGTCGCAGCAAAAATTCCTCCCTTTACTACCATCTACACATTAAGGTTGTTCATCCCTGTAAGTTTAAGCAAAATCTGCCATCCGGCTTAAGAGGAGTTGCGTTCACAAAATTTCTACATAGTATATAGTGAAAAAATAAACAAAGGTCCATAATTCTGTTAAATTTGGTCGCAGCAATAATTCCTCCCTTTACTACCATCTACACATTAAGGTTGTTCATTCCTGGAAGTTTAAGCAAAATCTGCCATCCGGTTTAAGAGGAGTTGCGTTCACAAAATTTCTACATAGTATATAGTGAAAAAATCAACAAAGGGCCATAATTCTGTTAAATTTGGTCGCAACAAAAATTCCTCCCTTTACTACCATCTACACATTAAGGTTTATCATCCCTGGAAGTTTAAGCAAAATCTGCCATCCGGTTTAAGAGGAGTTGCGTTCACAAAATTTCTACATAGTATATAGTGAAAAAATCAACAAAGGGCCATAATTCTGTTAAATTTGGTCGCAGCATAAATTCCTTCCTTTACTACCATCTACACATTAAGGTTGTTCATCCCTGGAAGTTTAAGCAAAATCTGCCATCCGGGTTAAGAGGAGTTGCGTTCACAAAATTTCTACATAGTATATAGTGAAAAAATCAACAAAGGGCCATAATTCTGTTAAATTTGGTCGCAGCATAAATTCCTTCCTTTACTACCATCTACACATTAAGGTTGTTCATCCCTGTAAGTTTAAGCAAAATCTGCCATCCGGTTTAAGAGGAGTTGCGTTCACAAGATTTCGGGACGTACGGACAGACAGACGGACGGACGGACAGACAGACGTACGGACTGACGGACACTCAGACGGACAAGTGCAACGCTATATGCTCCCACTCTGTGGGGGCATAAAAAATGTATATTTATGTATTTATATAATAAAGACAAGGTTTAGGATCCATCATTTAGCATTATTCGTCAAAGGAAGCAAACATCCATCATAAAGTGATTGTCAATTATTTATTGTACCTGGTTATTAAGATTAATACAATCTGTCGATTTTTTGAATATCAAGTGTTTCGAAAACGGTCAGTAGTTTTGATTAATTTTTGGACAGCCGCAAATATGTGTTCATTATTGTTAACATCTAAAGAATTACTACCCCACAGTAATAGCTCAACATTAAGAGGATGAAAAATTCTGGTTTCTGCGAAGAGTATGAGTCTCTGAGGTTTAAATAATGGACAACAATAGGTAATGCTTGGAATCCTCACAAATGTTAATAATATTGATATGATTGACTCTGAGTTTACCGACGAACAAAATGCTATTTTAAATTCGGAAATTACTACAGGTGATAACATTATTAAAAAAAATTGGGAAATCCCAAGGAAAGGACGGATTTGCAGCAGAATTTTATAAGTTATCATCCAACATCATCACGCCTATTTTTCTTATAGATTATTTAATAGAATGTTTGATACTGGCGATTTTCCTAATTCTTAGAGAGACAGTATAATTGTACCTGTTTATAAGTCTGTTTATAAATTAGAACCATCGAAGTATAGGGGTATATATCGTTGATAAATGTAATGTTAAAAATTATTTTCAATTATTATTTACGACGGGTTACGTACATGGGTGGAAGAACTTAACAAAATAGACGAGGCAAGTTTAAGAGAAGGTTATTCTACCATAGATAACATATATACTTTGCAAAGTTTAGTACAAAATATCTAAGCAAACCAGGCGGTAGATTTAATTTTCTTTTTGTTGATTTTCAACAGGCCTTTGATTTTTTATTACATCACAAACTGTTAAATTGTTTACATAAGGTCAGAGTTAGGGTGTACTTCTGCGTACAAGCTGACAAAGAAACTCAGGCGTTTGACTGTGATGGCTACAAGGCAAGGGGACGTAACGAGTACAATAATTTTCAATCTTTTTATCAATGAGTTATCTCGCTTCATCCGAACAAAAGGTCATCGAGGCATTTTTTTGAAGCCCAAGAGGTTACTCCGTTTATTGTCCCGTAATAGGTAAAATAGGGTCGGGGATCCATCCACTATTTTACCTTACAATTTATTATAATATTACAAAACACATGAGAGCATTTATATCATACATAATTTTATAATATATACAATACACAGAAGATAAATGTTTTCTTCGGATTCAGAGTATTTCATTTCCACAAAAACTGGATATAATATATTCAGGATATAATATATTCACTTGTAATATATAAGTAGTTAATTCAAAAATGTACTATCACTTAATGAGTACATAGATTTTTTAACTTTTGTATAACTTACTTTTGAAGATGCTAGCTTTAAACTGCAGACGAGACCTTGTAAGGATGGTATTATCTCCCTCCTCTTGCACAAGAATATATATCTTTTTAATTCTAGACAAAAAATATTAAATTGACATTGATCTCCTTTTTCATATCCTAAAATGAATGTCTTACAATCAACTTTCATTCAACATTATGACCTTTTAACAATTGTTGCACATCTGAGATAAAAGTTTTAATAGCAGAACAATTCCAGAATAAATGAGATAATGTCTCTTTTTCTTCTTTGCAGAAAGTGCATTTATCAGATTGTGTCAATTTCATTTTAGACATTAAATAGTTTGTTCCAAAAATTCTATGGGTGATTCTAGTTTGAAGCCATTGGAGGTAACTATCATTAGTTTCAGTGTGAATCCATTCAAACAGGTATTTCCACTCAGTATCATCAATGTTAAAATAAACATTCCATTTTGATATACATGTAGGTATTTGACAATTATCAATAAATATTTTATTTATGGTAGAGGGTCCACATTTACATATAATATTTGTTTTATATAAAAGAGAATAGATGGCAATTAGAATGCGATTTCCCGATAACTCTTTATTGAGCCTGTTCATGGACGTTACTGGAAAGTGCAAGTTACACGAAACACGAAAAATGGCGAAATTTTGAATTTAGAAACATCCGCAGATGTGTTCATACGGCGGTTATTATGGAACCTTCAATGTGACACAGTAGTGTCATTCCATGAAAAGCAGCGTATGGTCCCCAATTAAAACAAAGCGTGTGCCCTAAACGAGAAAACAATGGGCGGAACTAAATAAAATAACTTGACAGTCATAAAGACTTAACAGATTTATATAATTATATAAATAGGCATAAATACTATATCTTATTGCTGATTAAAAGGCTCATTAACAAATGTATGTAGCAATTATGTTGAAGATCTCATAAAGAACATCAAACTACGAAAAGGTTCAATGATCAACATTATAGAAATACCAATGAAGAAATACACTTACATTGTCATATAACTGAATAATAGTTTTGTTGTTGAACCATGATAAAATGAATGACAAGAAATCATACAATAATAAATATAGATTTCGGAATTTCATGTTGGTAGTTACATTACGATTAAATTCAGCGTAGTGCAATCATTGTCCCACTATTTTTTCCATTGAATTGATCATATTTATAAATATATTCTGTTCCTCGCAACCGGACAGTATGTGCCCTTTTTGAAAACAAATATTCATTACAAGCAAACCAATTTACACTCCCTTACAAGCAAACCAGATTATACTCCCTTGTGACAGTTGCGCCGCACAATCACAGTAACTACACGCACAATCACAGCAAGAACAGCGCAACCTATAACAGATCCTATTATAATTCCAACCAGTGCAGCAGTTGACATTCCATTCGATTTCTGTAAAACTAAATCAAACAAAGCATATTTAATAATAACAAAGAGGATAAAAATATATCACTATTTTAGTAGATAATTTCATTTACAATGAAAAAACTGCATTTCATATTTTTATGTTTTCTTTTTGTTTACAATTTTAAAAAGGTTTTATTCCCTACTGCTCGTCCGAGTAATTTATTGCCTCTAAAATATCTCTGAGTTTGTTAAATTTACATGTAATTCAGATTGTACAGATTGTAAGTCCGGCAAGACACCAGTGAAAATACGGAAGATATGTTTCACTGCAGTGAAAAATAAATTTTTCCAAATGTGAAATTTGGCAATGAAAAACAGGCATTTTACAATTTAATATTTCCATTGGTTAGTATTAATAAAAAAATTTAACATAAAATATCTTACATTTGAATGAAAAAGGGTTTGTTTGGGTGTTTGATGGCTTTACATAGCAACCGAAAACCGTTTGCCCTTACAGCTTTACTGGTAAGGAAGGCCCTCAGGTCCCCCGAGCATTTTTTTTTTGAGGTCAACCACCGACGTTTCGAAAGCTAGCTGTAAGCTTCTTCACATTAACGAACCACAAAGTCCCTGTCCCAAGTGGTTTAAAGTCAATAATCTTAACCACTCAGCCATGCACACGTGTTTGACAATTGGTTACATCTGAATATAAAGCAACTGGGTCAAACTAGACTGTAGAACTTGAATGTATGAACAGTTATATCTGCAAAGACTGAATAAAATCAATTTATGAAAAGATAACACAAATTCGAATATGAAAAATTACTCAAACAGCGGGGTCTGTCTGATGTTTTATAAAGCGAAACGTCGAACTGTATCTTGTCATTACATGTCCTGGCATAAATGTTATAAACACCACAGATCGGTTGTAGATCGAACTCGCCATCATCATCATAGTCAGAAACATAACACAACGGCAGTTTGGTAGGAACCTCGTTTATCTTAATTGGACCTGGAAAAAAAATACATAAAAATATTAAACGTAATCATTTACACCGGATAGTATTTAAGGATCAAAATTGATGAACTTTAATAAAACTAAAGACCGGAATAATAAACTTCATCTAAACTACAACAGAATTTGAACTGATAAACTTTGGCGTGTTTTAATAATATGTTGCAAGACAGATTCAATAACAAGGTAAAAAAGAAATGTGTTCAACCCATAAATCCTCCCCATTTAATATTCAAAGAAATGGAACTTTTCGAATCTGTTGGAAGAGCCCTTAGCATATCTGTTAATATGAATTTATATTTTGGTACCTATTAACAACTTACCTGGGAGATAAAATCCCCATTGATAGGTTTTATCGTCGATACATCCATCTATTATATCACTCATTTCTGTCAAAGTCGGATAGACAAATTGTTGTCCTTTGATATAGGCGTCTAGCCAGCCATGTTGTACATCACCTTCGGACAAAACCAATAAATCACCGACAACAGTACCGGCCGTGTAAACAAGTGAAAAGTCGTCACAACCTGCAACATCAATAACCGAGTCTCATCAATGTACACAAGTAAAAAACATAAAAATTATCAATTATGGACCATAGCTGTGCTATAGGTCTAGTGTCGGGGGGAGGGGGAGATAGTATAAAAAAGCGGTCCGAGAAATTCAAGATAGCGTCCAAGGTGGCCGCAAAAATGAAAAATACGAAGTTATTAATTTTTGACTGCTGCATATATTCTTTTGATGCATTTTTGTATCACATATATGTCATAAATGAAATATGAATATATATATTTAATGTCAAAATACTTTTTGATCGTCAAAGGGAGAAAAGTGTGTCGAAAAAAGTAGAAATAATGCTATGTACATTTTTTTTCTTTATTTGTTTTTGTTATTGCCAAATGATTTATTTCTTATGACGTTTATTGCCGAAATAAACATTTTAAATTAAACGGTGCCATTGAAAATATTCATTTAACTACAATTTCTTAGAAACTATGTTTTTTAAACTTTATTGGATAAAAAATATCATTTAAAAAAGTACACATATCCGTTAATTACTTTATTTAATCTATCTTGACGGCACAAATTGATTATTTTTACACTATAAGGAAGTTTACTGTAAAATTGACCACATAGGACAGTTATATGCCTTGAATGTCACCTGTTTGCAAAATTTGAACAAAATTTACCGTATGGTTTATGAGTTATGGACATTTTTCTTGACTAAAACTTTGCCATTAGAAGGAGCTTTTTTTCAGAAATGAGGAAACTCTAAGTTATCTAATATATTATCATTATGAAAAATGTTTTCCTATTGCTCATTGTTAAGAAACAAATAATAACATTTAGGTAACAAATTAAACAACCAAAATGATTGTTTTTAAACGAAATGTTTTTAATATGTATAAAAATGTAACCCTACCCCACCCACTTTTAACACTTATTTAACCATTTCCCTATGTAAAAAGCATTATTTAAAAGATCCCTTAAATTTTCCACAATTAGGGGCTGTTTTCAAAGTTTGCCTAAATTTTCTTAAATGTATATGGGTTGGTCTTGCAAAATATAAAATACTTATACCGTGTAGTTTTTATTTCATCAAACTTTGAACAATATATGGTATCATATAAGTATTTTATATTTTGCAAGATTAACCAATATCCTTTAAAAAAAAATAGGCAAACTTTGAAAATGTCAGCCCCTCATTGTGGTAAATTTTAGGGATATTTTGAATAAGGCTTTTAATAAAGGAAAATGGTCAAATAAGTGTTCAAAGGAGGTGGGGTAGGGTTACATTTTTATACATATAAAAACATTTTGCTCGTGTAATTTGTTACCTGGATGTTATTCTTTGTTTCTTAACAATAAGCTATAGGAAAACATTTTTCAAAAAGATAATATAATAGGTTGTTTAGAGTTTCCTCATTCTGTAAATAAAACCTTCTAATAACAAAGTTTTAGTTTAGAAAAAATGTTCATAAACCACACAATAAATTTGATTTAAAAGTTTGCATACTTAAGGTATATATCTGTCCTATATTGTCGATTTTACAGTTCCTTAAAGTGCCCATTATAAGTGGTAAACATTTACATTGAAGTTACATACTAAAACTTCATTTATATTATACTGTACTACAAACTAAGGAAAAATGCAAATGCATTCTCTCAACAGCATATCTTGTTCATTATCAAAATAAAAAAACATTTACTCCACAACATATTCCCTGAATCTATTTAATTTATAACCAACAATTTAAAACTGTAAAATATTCTTTTTCTCACAAACATATCTGTTTAACTGATGATCATAATCATACTAAGATTAGGTTTCTATATTTCCTTTACAATATTCAGGGTGCCAAATTTTATTAACGTTAATGTTTCATTTCAAGATGAAAGGCTGAAGCTAATATTTTTGTGATTACATTTAACTATTGAGAAATTGAACTATTTTGTTGATTTCTTAATATCTAGAATGATTGTTTATTAAATAACAAGCAGATCATGTGCTCAATGTCAATGAAACACATTAAAATCAATACTCTAAATAAGTAATTGTTATATACAGTGCATCATTGAGTTCGTCCGAGCCTAGGTATATAAGGAACAACTTGAGTACGTCCGAGCCTCGGTATATAAAGAACCAGTTGAGTACGTTCTAGCTTTTATATATAATATATAGAACACAATATGAGTATCGGTTAATATAAAAAAACAAGGCGAGTATGTGACAATCCTTCACAAAGCTCAAGGTGATTACTTTAGAGTCCCAGTTCATATAGTACAAGGTGAGTTGGTCAGTGTCCCGGTTCATAAAGGACAAGGTGAGTTAGTCAGAGTCCCGATATATTTAGGTCATAGTGAGTACTTTAGAGTCCCGGTTCATATAGGACAAGGTGAGTAAGTCAGAGTCCATGTACATTGAGGACAAATTGAGTACTTCAGAGTTTGACATGGTGATAACTTCTTTGCTCTATAGATGAAAGTGAGTAAGTCAGAGTCCCGGTTCATATAGGACAAAGTGAGTAAGTAAGAGTTCTGGCTCATACAGGACAAGGTAAATTTATCAGAGTCCAGGTTCACATTGGACAAGGGTAGTTAGTCAGAGTTCAGAATTATATAGGACAAGTTGAGTTACTCAGAGTCCTGGCACATATAGGACAAAATGAGTAAGGTCAGAGTCCCGGTTCATAAAGGACAAGGTGAGTTAGTCAGAGTCCCTGTTCACATAGAACACGGTGAGTTAGTTAAAGTCCCGGTTCATATAGATCAAAATGAGTTTGTCACAGTCCATGTACATTTAGAACAAAGTGAGTACTTCAGAGTCCCAGGTCTGTAGATCATAGTGAGTCCTGGTTCATATAGGACACAGTGAGATAGTCAGTGTCCCGGTTCATATTGGACAAGGTGGAAACGGCAGAGTCCCGGTTCATATATAACTGTGTGAGTTAGTCAGAGTTAGTTCTTATAGGAGAAGATGAGTTAGTCAGAGTCCCGGTTCATGCAATCATGGTGAGTAAGTCAGAGTCCCGGTTAATATCGAACAAGTAAAGTTCATTGAAACATTAGTACGAGTTTGTATGAGATTCGGTTTTATTGCATTATCCCTACGTAGAGTGTAAATACGTATACGGTATTTAATAAAGATGACTTACCTGCGTAATAGATTGTATCTGTAAATAGAGAAAAAAGAAAAAAGGGAAACTACGTTATGTTTATGTTAGCTTAAGGTCGTCAACGTACCAGTTTATAAACTATGACATGACGCTGAAGACATACCCGTAGGGAAAGTCCACCAATAATCGTGCCAGGAAACTGACACGCTCGTATTAATTCATCGAGCACGCCAAGAGAAGTAAAGTGAAGCATATGCTGACAAAATTATATATAATCTATTGATAATCCATGTATGAACATAAAATACTTTATTCGAACATAAACTACCTAATATTTTTGCGATAGCTGAAAATATTTATCCATTTGTCGCCATCTTGCCAAAATGTTTAATCACGTGAGTACGAGATTGACCTCGGGTTTATTTAGATAATGCGTGGACGGTTACGAAAACAATGCCATGTCCTTTACATATTTTCTTACAACATGCTTTTTTACATAATTATAAAAGATGATGTGCCGAGTTATATTCTACTATTTTATTTAAATGCTGTTAAATCACGCCTGGTAAATGATAGAGAGATATACGGTAAATCGCTCTATCGCTACTTCAGAGCTAGTGCATGTCGCTTAAATCAAGTGCCAAAAGTTTGCTTTTTATATATTTTGTAAACTCTACACCAAAAGAATGCTTTGCGATGTAGATTGGACAAAAGTTTTCAGAAAGCGTAAAGTTGTTATAATTGTGTTTGAAATGTAGTTGTGGCGGCGTTTCCCAGTTAGCGAATTCAGCGTTGAAATGGACTGTTTCATCGTGTGAAGAATTTTGTTTACGAATAAAATGTTTTAATTATGAAATATAACAGGTCTTTTGATTGGTTGTTTTGTAAGGTTTTCTTGTTACCGTCTTGTCAGACAAGTTTGAGATTAGGCGCTTTATCAAATTTGTGCACCTCCGGTTAAACCGATGTCTTTCAAAGGTGCATGTACTTCAAAAGAAGGTTTGTTTCTTACTATTGACGCTTTGCGGAAAGTATCTGGTTTAAAAAGTTCACATGTTGACAGCAAGTGGTGCAGATTGGTCATTTATACAGAAATATTTATATTTACGGAGAGGCATTTTTCTGTGTTTGTTGCATTAATCAACAGCTACTGTTGCTTTTAGGGGTATAACTTGTGTATTCATGTGTATATATAGTTTGTTGATATAATATGTAGTTTGTGGCTTTCGTTTTATAAAGATTCTTTTGAATATTGTGATAATAGTCAGTTGGATAAATTGATAGGTTAGGGCTTAAAGGAAGTATATTATTCCTTCAGTCTTTTCTGAAGTATCGGTATTTCACCTAGCGTTTTTCCCTCTAAAGGAGGTATTGTACTTTTTTAAGGGTTCCTGGACAAGTGGTAATGGTAAGTGGGCTTTACCCTTGTTCTTGTTTAGGTGGTCATAATGTTATATTTCAATTTATTTATTGTACAGTGTTTTTTAGTTGCTTGTTTTTCTGTTTTGTCTTTTTGTTAATTAAAGCTACACGCATTCAGATGTTCCACATTTCTTCTTAAAAATAAATCTAAGGTTAGTAGATTATTGATGGTTATCATTTACTTTTTTCTAAGGTCTTGACGGTAAAGGGATTCTGAAGGCTTGCTGTTTTAATGTTTTTATGAATACTTGTTAATATTTATGTTTAAATGTTCGTATGTTTGTATATGTTTTGCTTAAAATTATTGTTTTGCTTAAATTTTGCTTATTTTTGGCTGGGAGTTGGCGGATTTAATGTATTTCATACTAGTTGATTAGCAGTTATAGACCTTTTTACAAGACGATTCTTCCATAGTAACCGATGTTGCATTTCGCGCATGCGCATTCTGCGTAGGGCAAAAGCGCAGTAAAATTGAGAACAGTGTATGATACTTTAAGGCTTTAATAGTCGTGATTCCATGTTATGTCAACCAGAAAACAGTTATTATGGGATGACTTAAAGCGGTAAGCACTTAAAACGTTAATTGATATTTATAACAGATATAATAAATATGCGCGACTAATAATCCAATGGTCAAAAGGCGCACACAAAAGTCGTCTGTTTAAGGTATCATTAGACGACGACTTTTTCATCTGTTATTTAAATTTAAACAGCATCGTGTTAAAGATTTAATTTTATTACCACTATATTACATAATACTGGGGGCGTCCGTGGCCGAGTGGTTAAGGTCGTTGACTTCAAACCACTTGTCCCTCACCGCGGTGGGTTCGAATCCCGGCAGGGACTTTTGATTCTTTCATGTGAGGAAGCTATCCAGCTAGCTTACGGAACGTCGGTGGTTCTACTCAGGTGCCCGTTCGTACCTGAAATAATGCACGGAAGGGCACCTGAGGTCTTCATCCACCAGTACAGCTGGAACGTCGCTAAATGACCTATACTGTGTCGGTGTGACGTAAAACCCAAAACAAACAAACACACATAATATTACACAATGTGTATTGTACAGTTCCTTTTGGATTGGCCAGGCGGTAAGTGTCAAACAGATTGACACGCGACGCGGTTGTTTGTTTCCAGCTATAATATCATTCAACCGGAACGTTTCAGTACCATGACATAGTTAATCACGTACAATTATGAAAATCGTAATTTAAGTTACTTTTATATATACCGATCTCATCAATGTTTATTGATTTTGAGAAGTGACAATTAGTGTGACTTGCATTGAAAAAATATTAACATGTGTTATGAGGAACCGGATAAAATGTGTGTTACTTCATTTCCTTAAAGATTTTGAAAAAAAAAATTAACTATTTAAAATATGACTTAAAATTTATCTGCTTTGCATCACAGTCAAGTAAAGGATAAAATCAGGTAAACTGAACACTAAAAATGCATTATCTTCGTGTCTGTTCTGGCTTTTTTCAGAATGATAATTAACCTCGATTTATAAAATTTCTTTTATCTTTTTATGAACTATTTCAACAACAATTTAGTTGACTCCCATTTGAATAATAGATATAATTCCACATTTTCTTAAAAAAGTTCAATGGAAGTATGGTAATTTTTCTACCTTTTACCTTAAGCTAACTCGGAATTGTCTATGCACTTCTTCTATGTTTCTATGTAATGCTATACGCAGATTGCGCATGCGCGGGAAAATACTTCTTCCGATCGATTTCATCATAGCAATGGACCGCGTCGTTAAAGGTCTATAGGTCACTATAACATTATTCTGTGAAAAGATTTGATACATCAGGTGACTTTCTGTTCTAATAGAAATATATTATCTAGTTGAGTTGAATAAGATATTCATTAACTGAATAAATTATTATTATGCTTTTGTGTTAAACGTGTCTGCATGCTCTATTAAAAAATTATTATTATTTATTATTGTGTTTCTGGTTATGACATAATTAAACAGATTATTTTTCATCCAATTATCGTCTAAACAGCGATTAGGATTTAAAACAAATACGTTTCAAGCAGATTTTAGGTCTAGAGATAAGATTGAAATCAGATCAAAACATTTGTTTCATGGAGACAGCTCTTTCGTGTCGTCAAGGAGATAGTTCTATGGTTTCAAAGGAGACCACAATCTTAGGACAAAGATTGTAAAATTTTTTCGGTGAAAAAGATCTCTTTAGGATGTTGATACAACGGGTATCTTCATTATGATGTAAGGAATCAACTATATGACACTATTTGTTTAATATAAGCAGGTATTCCTGCTACATCATTCACGAAGTGATCTTACTTTTATCCCAACTTCTGATAGAGTAGTAAGCTGGACAAATGTAAACACTGTGTACAAACTGAGACTTCACATTTCAAATGTAAACAATTTAGTATGCCTAAGAGTTTGAAGCGTCACATAGTAACAATTCACATGGCATTATAGAACTATGAACACGACAGTTGTTTGTGACAAGAAGTATTTATTGAGCTTTTGGTATACTTCATTCTAAAGGTTTCTGAGAAATTTCTTTGTTCTCTATTTAAAATGCTCAGTAAGTTGACATTTTAACTAACGAACTAGTACCTGCATTGTTTCTAGCTAGTCAGAAAGCTATGATTCTGTTTTCCTCTAAAACACATTGAATATCCAGTAACGCAGTGTGGTGCAAATACCGCAGGTATTATGAAAAGTAACGCAGAGTTGTGCAATTCTGTGGCCGAACAAGGAAATGAACTAATGATTTATTGTACATTAAATTGAAAGACGTGAATAAGCGCATACGGTTGCTGAAACATTACACTTGGTACATCATCAACAATACTTCCATGACAATGTTTATCTATCAAGATCATTCGTGTGAATTTCGATATGACTTTGGAGTTTCGTCGTTTCTTAAAATACAATGACGTATATATTACATTATAGGTGTACCCGACACGTTAGCAAAACTACTCGTGTCTTGATATACACGATGTAAATGCAGTCACATGAAACGGACAAATATTTACTATATGTATGTTTTGTAAGATCTTCTTAACATGTATTTTTAAGTTAAGTTCTTAATGTTACGTGGCAAAAGCGATTAGGTATGTATAAACTGAAAGGATATTGAAAGAGCGCAGGTTCATTACGTCATTTAACGCTACATGAATATAGATAATCATATAGTATGCAGAGTTGTGTACAGTGAAGAACAATTTAGTCGATAACAATTTGAACGCTGTAAATGTTAATGTTTTATTATGCAAATTACGTCATGATATACATGTATAGTAATTACATTAGTATAATATTGTTTTTATTAAATTTTTGTGTCGTGATAAATGTTATGAATAAAATATACACAATCAGTTACTTTTTTGTAACCATAGAGCTATCTCCTTGACGACATGACTACCCCCTTCACGACAGAGCTGTCTCCAAGATCAAATTAAATATTTTATATTTTCTTTATAAACAAATGTTTTGATCTGATTTCATTTTTTCATTTCTAGACCTTATTTTACTTGAAACATATTTGTTCTTAATCTGAATCGCTGTTTATATGAACACTGGAGGACAAATAATCTGTTTCATAATGAAACGGTCCATTTCAATGTTGAATTCGCTAACTGGGAAACGCCGCCGCAACTACATTTCAAACACAATTATAACAACTTTACGTTTTCTGAAAACTTTAATCAAATCGACATTGCATAGCATTCTCCGAATTTTGATATTTGATGAAGGATTTATAAAATATATATAAAAAATGAAAACACTTGACACTTGATTTTATCGACATGCACTAGGTCGGAAGTAGCGATGGAGCAATTTACCGTATACCGTCGAAAGAGGTAGCTCTATCATTTACCAGGCGTGAAATGAAAAAGTAAATAAAAATGAAATTGAGTATTGTCAACAAAGTTGTTCTAAATATAGTACATGTCAGTACTCAGAGGGGTTCCCGCGAATTACGTCATACGAGGTCTCGTGTAATTCCTAAGTGTCATGGTCGACATTCGCAGTATGGTTTGCAATTTCTAATGGCAGTATTAATATTTTTATTATTTAGATAGTCTAGAAAGATGTTGAAATGATATTTTCTATCGGAAAATGCGCAAGAATAAATTAGATAAAAGGATTTTTGCAATTTTTTTTAATACCGGCTTTTTATATGTTGGCCGAATTATTCCAACGGACAGGTTAGATACACGAATAAACAGGGTAGGTAAGTAATAGAAAGAGCACCGAAACACGAAGCTATCTGATTTGTACGAGGGGGCGTAGCCCCCGAGTATTAATCAGATTGCCGAGTGTTTTGGTGTTTCTTTCTCTTTTGTATCATAGTCAAACATAAAAGCACGTTCCCTGTTGTCAAAATATGAAACCCCGGCAAGAATGAACAAATGAACGAACATCTGAAAATGACATTTCTGTCGCTTTCCCTTTCTCTGCCGTCACAATATGTAAACCCCAGCAAAAATGAGCCAATCAATGGGCATGCTCTGGAGTGCGGGTAACTAATACCCGCACTCCAGGTAACGAACTGTGCATGTATATGTATACGATTTAACCCTGACACATTTTCAACAGAAAGGTCTCCAAACTATGATACAAGTTAAACGAATGAACCTGGCAGGTTAGTGACACGAATGAACCTGGCAGGTTAGTAACATGAATGAACCGAGCAGGTTAGTTACACGAATAGGCGGGCAGGTTAGATATTTGAAATCACCAACTGTAAAAAGTAACACCTATAACCAGGTTAAGGAATTAATTTTATACTTCACTTTGTAGATGTCCACATGCTTTTCGCAGTGGAAAATCCTTGTCTTAAAAATTATGTTTCAAAAATCTTTATCAGCAAAAAACGTCTATTATATTAAGGGTCTGTTACCTATGTATGCATAGGTATAATAATACTACCTCTTCTCCTGTCAGCAATGTCACCGTTTTCTAATACTTTATAATATTTATAATATTATATATGAAAAAAAATGCACCAGTAGTCTTTTGAATGTAACAATATCAATGTAACAGGAGTAAAAGTGGTCATAATTTATCTAAAATAACGTTATAAATCTATAATGGACGCCAGACTTATTATTAACTACATAACTATAAATTTATTTGTACCATTAATTTAAGGGATACTCGGGCACATTAATGACACAAATATAAAAAAATATTAAAATTATCTTATGAACACGTATCACGCTAAAATGACAATTTTAAAAATATAAGCATTAATTTCTGTATTAAATTCTACATATTTGGGGTTGAAGCGTATCTTTATCTATATATGTTTAACCAACAAACTCACCGAGTAGTTTTAAAACAAATTATGTGACTTGGAACAAAACCCCCGGAAGCTACATTAACAAACATTGTGAATATTGTATATTTGAAACAAGTCTAAGTCATTCATTAGACATGTTCTTGAACGTTTTCATAGTATTCTATAACAACTAATGTGAAATCTTAACACTTAAACTTGACCCACGTAGTCATTTATACTTTATAATGGGAAAAATATGCTCCTATGACTGCCTAGTGTATTCATTTTAAGGACATTAACATAATAATGAATGCAAAATTGAAACAATGAAATTAGAATTTTTGTATGTGTCTCCATTTGTCATGAGACGAAATAAAAAAAAAAGAAATATATATATATATACATATATAGCATGGTATATATATATATATATATATATATATATATATATATATATATATATATATATATATATATATATATATATATATATATATATATATATATATATAAACAAGATATATGTCCGCGTATTGTTTAATTATCAAATAAGATATTATAAATTCCGCCATTTACCTGGACATATGTACGTGTAGCTAACATATTCTTTATCTAAACTCTCAATGTAGGGAAATCTGTAAAATAAGAAACCCTCACACGTCCTCATCTCAACTGTTACGTTCATTAAACAAGGGTCTGTCTCATTGTGAATGCAAGCGTCTACCCTCTGAACTTGATCTCCAATTTCGTCTATGCTAATGTGTTGTTCTGTATTAGATAGTATTCTTATTAGATAGTATTCTTATGTATAAATAGTGTCAGGGTCAGTCAGCGATATAGTTAATCAAAGAACTGTATATCCCGAATCATCATCTCATTAATAATTAAAATCTGTTTCAATTTATTGCCAAGACATTAACAAAAACCATATATATATTCAAAAGACATAAAAATGCTATTCTAATGCTCTAATGTAGTATGTACCGGACAACATGAATTGTAAGATAAAACACCTTGCGACATGCTCCCATTTGGACCGGGTATCTTTGTAAACACGAATATATTTTTTATTCTAAAAACTCGTCGGAATATCAAAAATAATGTAACGCACCAAAGATTGGTTTAGTACTTGATATAATTCTTTAAAAATGTGTAAAGTTTTACTGTCTGGATTAAACATAAAAACGTGGTAAATTATATTTGGAGTCCGAGTAGGAGCATTTAGGAAAAGCTTTATCCCTTTATCAGGTAAAAGTTTAAAGATTTTTTTAATTATATCTTGTACTAAAGCCAATTTTGCGCGCTACATTTTTTAATTCCAGGAATTTCTTAGATGAAAATATATTTTACCTTTGAATCGACGAGATGTTAAGAAACAAAAACAACAACAACAACAACAAAACCCAGTCATTTTACAGGTGCTCTATGACGTATTATCCTACTATTAAATATGAACATGACCGGTTTAATAAATATTGTGATGTACCTGATAATGATAAGTAATACTGAGAAACAGCTAGATATGGACAGTGCTCATCAACGTTTCCAATCCATGGTATCTGGACATGACCTCCCCAGAAAGACATGTTATACCACCTACTGTTGTTCTGGTAAAGTTCTAGTATAATGTGACCTTTTAGTTCATACTCATACACTGGACTAAGAGAACAAGTGTCAACACCTACAAAATATCAAATAAGGTGACCAAGTTAAGTGGATGGCAAAGAAATCTAAAAGTGCCTAAGCTATCTGTCGTATAGGATAGCTCATTTCTACTTATAAAAAGCTCTCGGTGGTGAATATATAAAATTACTCGTAGCTGAATATACTTTACTTTTCAGTTTTTACACTTAATGCATTATTAGCGCTTTTCATTATTACTGTTAAATTATTAAGTAAAGATAAATCTATACTTGTCTATTAATACATAAATCTTTGAGGTAATGAATTTATACTTAAACACTATTATAATTATGAAATTGTTATTATGGAAATTTATTTTACATATTATACTATAACATATAAACTCTGCTGAGAATATACTTATATTAATACATGTATAATACTTACTTCAAACTTTAGTGAAAATATAAATTTACTGATATAATACATCATACAAACTTTAATGAAAATATATCTATACTGATATATTACAACATATAAACTTTGGTGAAAATGTATCTATACAAATAATACTGATTTATTACATTATACATACTTTAATGAAAATATATCAATACTGATATCTTACATCATACAAATTTTAATAAAAATGCATCTATACTGATATTTTACATCGTACAAACTTAGATCAAAATGTATCTATACTGATATATTACGTGATACAAATTTAAATGATAATGTATCCATACTGATATATATTACAACATACAAACTTTAATGAAAATGTATCTATACTGATATATATTACAACATACAAACTTTAATGAAAATATCTATATACTGATATATATTACATCATACAAACTTTAATGAAAATGTATCCATACTGATATATTACAACATACAAACTTTAATGAAAATGTATCTACATTTGTATACTGATATATTACAACATACAAACTTTAATGGAAATGTATCCATACTGATATATTACAACATAAAAACTTTAATGAAAATGTATCTATACTGATATATTACAACATACAAACTTTAATGAAAATGTATCCATACTGATATATTACAACATAAAAACTTTAATGAAAATGTATCTACATTTGTATACTGATATATTAAACATACAAACTTTAATGGAAATGTATCCATACTGATATATTACAACATAAAAACTTTAATGAAAATGTATCTATACTGATATATTTTACAATATACAAACTTTAATGAAAATGTATCCATACTGATATATTACAACATACAAACTTTAATGAAAATGATTCTATACTGATATATATTACAACATACAAACTTTAATGAAAATGTATCCATACAGATATATTACAACATACAAACTTTAATGAAAATGATTCTATACTGATATTTATTACAACATACAAACTTTAATGAAAATGTATCCATACAGATATATATCAACATAAAAACTTTAATGAAAATGATTCTACATTTGTATACTGATATTTATTACAACATACAAACTTTAATGAAAATGTATCCATACAGATATATTACAACATAAAAACTTTAATGAAAATGTATCTACATTTGTATACTGATATATTACAACATACAAACTTTAATGGAAATGTATCCATACTGATATATTACAACATAAAAACTTTAATGAAAATGTATCTATACTGATATATTTTACAATATACAAACTTTAATGAAAATGTATCCATACTGATATATTACAACATACAAACTTTAATGAAAATGATTCTATACTGATATATATTACAACATACAAACTTTAATGAAAATGTATCCATACAGATATATTACAACATACAAACTTTAATGAAAATGATTCTATACTGATATTTATTACAACATACAAACTTTAATGAAAATGTATCCATACAGATATATATCAACATAAAAACTTTAATGAAAATGATTCTACATTTGTATACTGATATTTATTACAACATACAAACTTTAATGAAAATGTATCCATACAGATATATTACAACATAAAAACTTTAATGAAAATGTATCTACATTTGTATACTGATATATATTACAACATACAAACTTTAATGAAAATGTATCCATACTGATATATTACAACATAAAAACTTTAATGAAAATGTATCCATACAGATATATTACAACATAAAAACTTTAATGAAAATGTATCCATACTGATATATATTACAACATACAAACTTTTATGAAAATGTATCCATACTGATATATTACAACATAAAAACTTGAATGAAAATGTATCCATACAGATATATTACAACATACAAACTTTAATGAAAATGTATCCATACTGATATATATTACAACATACAAACTTTAATGAAAATGTATCCATACTGATATATATTACAACATACAAACTTTAATGAAAATGTATCCATACTGATATATTAATGTAGCAGTGCTAATATTTTAACATTTAATCATTTTTTTATATTTTTGGTCATGATGTGTCTTTAATGTTTAGAGGTCATCATTGGTCTTTAAAACTAGTGAGAACTTCTCACACATTCCAATATATTGTACATGTTAAACTATTTATAATCTGAGTTGACAGGTGTATGTTTTCATCCAATCAGATGAGAGTATTGTTATATTGTGATCACATGACCAGGTTTGGTGTGTAGTTTCAAAGAAGGTTGTCATTTTTGCTTTGCTCTTTGATAGTTTATTTTATATTTAAAGTGTTTGGAGGAGAATTGGACTAAGGTATTTATTCTTTTTAGTTTACAGTTGGTTATCTATCTCTAGATGGTTTATTAATTCTATTACATGTATTATGGGT